AACGAACGGATTACATTCTTCCCTTCTTTCAGAAAATGACGTCATCAATTCTCTCTTGCTCATTTTTTTTATTGTTACCGCATGAACACCTTAGAGAAAGCCGCCCCCAGCAAGCTGAAGCAAGAACAAGGAGATGCTCATATTATCACATAAAGCAGGTACATTTCTCTGTGAGCAGCCAAGTGCATTAAACAAAAAAGAAAGCAGGATTTGTAAGAGACTGAATAGTTTCGCATGAAAGCACGTAGCATTCTCCCGCAGTAGACGGTGTGTGATTGTGCAGGCCTGCCGCTCTACAGAGGAGGGCGAACGCGCCGCAGCTTGAACGGCCTGAAGTCAGAACAGGAAACTCCTGTTGGAAAGACATCCAGTAGGGCGGTCGGAGGCGAAATACTTTATTCCTCACAGTCCAGGGACGCTGTGCTGTTTGCAGTGACTTTGCAAGGTCAGTGAGCGATGAAGTGAAGGCCATTTTAAACTCTGAAGTAGTTACATTCAAGCAGTTTCAATTAACAGCTTAAAGTAAAATTATATCGACACTGTAGCAGCAGTCTTTAAAATAGCTCCTGATCATCTGAATACATTAGAAAACAAATGTCATCCCTTAGGATTATACAGTCTACACACCGGTTGAATAGAAAAATAATTAAGAAAACGACAACAGAAACACAGATTTACATCTGCTGAATACCCAGGTAGCTTAGTCCTCAATCGGACACTCAAATGATTTAAAATCTGATCCTCAGGTCCCTGTGAGCCAATGGAAACAGGAAAATCACTCCTAAAAGTAAAACACAGACAGGCACGCCCACCCCCAGGTGCCCCCTCCCTCCGAGAGACCCTGCCCACACCTGTGCCCAGGTGCCCCCTCCCTCCGAGACCCTGCCCACACCTGTGCCCAGGTGCCCCCTCCCTCCGAGACCCTGCCCACACCTGTGCCCAGGTACCCCCTGCCCACGCCTGCAGGGAGCTGAGTTTCAGATTTTTTCTTTACCATTAAAGTTGAAGACACCACCTCATCAATAAAGATGAACATTTCTTACTTGTTTACCCCCACACCCGCCCCCCCACCACCACCACCACTCCAAAAAAGTAAAAATAGTGCAAATTACACTTTTGTCCTGTAGCTCCTTCATAAATGTATCCCATTTTGTGCTGTTTAACCAAACATCAGGACAACTGACCCCTGTTGCCTTCAGACCGGGGCAGAATCCAGACTGGCGGAGCAGCGGGCTGCCCCAGCAGGCGAGAGCAGGGGGCAGCAGTGCCCTCTCTGCCCCACGGATTCATCGCTCTCAGCTCTCCCAACCAAATCAAGCGCAAGGATCCTAAAGCTCGATTCCAGTGGAAACGGTACAAAAAAATCTTCAAGTACAAAAAATGATTGAAGCATACCTCTATACTATGTATATATCGATATACACGTTGTAGGTCAGTGCTATTGGATCTGAGCCCCGACACCCCCTGTGCCAGGGAGGAGGGGACACCCCGTCTCCCAGCAGAGCCTCCCGCCGCGGGTCCCACCCCAGCGCGCCACGCCTGCGCTCACACAGGAGAGCCAGCACCATACCGCACAAACAAAGGGTTTATAACGTCGAAAATCTTTTTTTTTTTCCCCGAAAAAAGAAAAACTACCACTCTGGAAGAGGCCCATGTCGAAGAGAACAGCCGGCGAATCGGTGACTTGGGGTCGGTGAGCTCTGTCCGTGTAGCATCAGTCACAATAACAAACGTCTATTCAACACCATAAATTATGAATATTATAATAATCTTTCTTCTATACTGTACAGATCCGCGTGTCCAGCAGTAGTCCTCGGGCTAGACAGTGATGTACTCCTTAAAGGTCACAGTGAGGCAGTTGGCCGTGACGTCGGTGATGATGATGTTCCCCAGGAAGGGCTTGAACCCCGACAAGGGCTCCTCCTGCCGCGCCTCCT